TTTATTAAAATGTAAAAGCAAGTAATTAGTTTTACAATCATCTATTTAACATAGCCTTTTATCAAACAATTGAGGAAAAATTGGAGATTCAGTCATGTGGAATTGACACTTAATTTTGAAATAATCTAACGATACTTCACAAAACTCTGTAATTGCTAAAAAACCTGATTTTTTTGTCCTTAGCAAAAGCCGGTCCCTGTAATCGGTTGCTGACGTGGATATTGTTTTTTATTTTTTCTTTCGTACACGTGGCAACCGACTAACATATCCAACTCAGAGCAGCCGGTCAAATTGACAATGACCAAAAGTGTTTTATAAGATCAACGCAACCATCAGACTATTTTTCAGTTTGGTGTCAAAACAGTACTAAATCTCCAATTTTTTCACCCTAAAAATCCTTGTTGATTACCAAATAAAGTCACTATATATTAGATGTTCTATTTTACATAAAGAAAAAAGATACATAAAAAAGAAATGAGAATATAATTTTATGGTCATATCTGGAAATCAGCATGAGGGATGGTTCTTAATTGAAGAATTTATTGAAAAGATATTTTGAGAATTTTGAACCATTATTGGTGGTTTTAAAAAATATTCTCTCTTTTACCATGATTTTTTTTTTCAGTCTATTATTAATTAAGTGCTGCCTAGCCACTATATGTGTGTGTGCCTCTGCATATTAATTTATAAATTACAAAAGTTACATATGTGTTTGTGGGTATTAATTTTATATATTTTTATCCTTTTAATTTGACTTTTAAGTAAAAATAGGATCTTTTAACTCAACCACTCCAATTTTCAATTATTAGGGTGAGCATTTTTTTGGTATTTTCTGCAAAAAGTCTGTAGTTGGTTCAATTGGATGTCATTCTTAGCCTTAAAAAAAAAAAAAATGAAAATAATTTTCTAAGGAAGAATTCCAAACACATGACATAACATATGCACATATTTACATATATTTACACCTAATAATTAGTTCATTAATCATTCCTAGTTTATGCACATATTTACATATATTTACACCTAATAATTAGTTCATTAATCATTCCTAGTTTCCGAGTAATGCTCACCTATCCACGGTGGACACATGTTAATATATCCACCGCTTATGTGACATGCACACATTGGTGATGTTAATATGTTCAAAAAATACATCACCAATGTGTGCATGCCACATAAGCAGTGGGCATACTAACTGCCCACCGTGAGTAGAGGAGCATTATCCCCTAGTTTCCTACTGCATTTTTTACTAAATATTGTTTCTACATTTGCCTATTTTTTACTTAATTTTTGAACATATAATCTCAATAATACTATTTTCACTATTATTATTATTTTTTTTTGAAATATTCGGAAATTATTAGGTGAGAAAATTGGAAATGCTAATAGCAATATTAGTGTTCGTAATGGCGGGTTGTTTTTTCGGGGAATTAAGCTACGTAAAGCCTCCAGCTGAGAAAGTGATTAAAGGAATGTTTATTCCTAAGCTAAGTGGTCAAAGTGCAACTGGTGATGCTATTGCACTTATTGGTGCCCTTGTTATGCCGTACGTTTCTATATATAATTTTCATTTTTTTTTTTTTGGTTAATAAAAAAAATTAAAAAAAAAATTGGATGATTTATGGAGATATATAAACTAATATTTATTTATTTATTTCTCTTTTTGTACAGGCATAATCTTTTTCTTCACTCTGCTTTAGTACTATCCAGAAAGATACCGAATTCGGTTGGAGGAATTAATGTAAGTATACATACAAAATCAAAATTTATTCGATACTTGTAAAGTGCACGTCTTTTAGAGTGTATGTAATTTGCACGTAAAATGCGCGACCTCAACAATATGATGGTTGTTTTTGTTCACTTGCTATAATGATGTAATCGAGCAATTTGATCGAACGAAATTGACTTTTGATTGACAAATTTGGGTTAGCTCACAAAACGGTGAATTCGATTTAAGGATTTAATGTGAGTATACATACAAAACCAAAATTTATTCGATACTTGTAAAGTGCACGTGTTTTGCACATCTTATAAATTGTAGAATGCACGTAAAACGCACGGCCTCAAACGATTTGATGGTTTGTTTTGGTTCACTTGCTATAAAGATATAAACGAGCAACTTTGATTGAATATTAGTGATAAATAGGTGAAACCGTGGCCGAAAAGAGAGTTTGAAGATTTATTTTATTATTGAACTTTGATTGAATTTAAAATATTTCAGGAAGCTTGTAGATACTTCTTAATGGAGAGTGGATTTGCACTGTTTGTGGCTTTTCTCATCAATGTTGCAGTTATTTCAGTGTCTGGTACAGTTTGCTCAGCTAATAGCCTTTCAAAAACTGTGAAAAATAGTTGTGATGATATGACACTCAATTCAGCCTCTTTTCTCCTCAAGGTTTGTGGTGACATTTTTTTTT